TCGGGCCCACTGAGCCCGAGTTGGGCCGGGTACGAGCTTTCGAAGGCCGAGCTGGGGCCCGCTGAACCAGAGGCCTCCACGACGGGGTCAGAGTAGATGGGGTCGGCGGATCGCGACGCACCGCCGATGCAGCATCGGCGACGCCGGCGCGGGGAAAGTCGGGCTCCACGTCGAGCCGCATCGCCGCCGAATCGGCGATGCGGCGCGATCCTCCGACCCCTGGACCCCTAGATGAATCCCAGTTCGGCCGGACAGTGGTTGTGCAGACCCCGGCAGGTTGAGCAGGTGGCCCCTCGTGGACGGGTCGGGCGGGCGGGCCCGAATGGACGGGCTGAACTGGGCGGGCAGACCTCAGCGGGCGTGCCGGGCAGGAGGGCCAGGAGGGCCAGGACAGGCAGTTCCGGTCGCGCCGACCCTCGCGGGGATGGGGCGGGGTCGGGCGCGCGGGCCAGCGCAGTGCGAGGCCCAATCGCGGGAACACACAATTCAGGCGGGGTGGGTCAACCTTGCGCTGCACAACTTCTACTGCCCAGCCTGCACTGCTCATCATACACCACATAGTGTTCACAACATAGCCTATACCACAAAGCATTGGCCACGTTGCTTGCTTCACATAGCCTGCACCGCGTGGCTTGTACCGTGCACCTTGAAACACGCAGCTCGCGCCACAAACCTCCTCAACCTCAAACCAGAAAGCTCCCATCGGATAGGTTGCCGCATTGTTTGCATCACATTGTTTGCAAGACATGCCTTACACCCGGGGCCACCCAAAAACTCACACAGCCAGAGCCGGGAGGAGGGAGGATGAGGAGGGAGGAGGGCGGGAGGAGGGAGGAGGAGGAGGGAGGAGGAGGGGAGGAGGAGGAGGAGGAGGAGGAGAAGTGGAGGAGGAGGAGGAGGAGGGAGAGAGGAGGAGGAGGAGAAGGAGAGGAGGAGGAGAGGGGAGGAGGATGAGGAGGAGGAGGAGGAGGAGGAGAGGAGGAAGGAGGAGTGAGGAGGAGGGAGGAGGAGGAGGAGGAGGAGGAGGAGGAGGAGGAGGAGGAGGAGGAGGGAGGTGGAGGTGGAGGAGTCCCCGCTGCCAAAACCTTCGGGCACCTCGCCGTGGAATCCGCTGCCGGGGCCTCCTCGGCACGCCGAGCAGCCACCACGGGCAGCAGGCGAAGCACACGTCTTTCGAGGCCGACCATACCGTCGGACTTCATTCGACAGGACACATTTTTGGTCCGCGGCTCCGAGGCGAGAGACAGGGAGCGAGCACAACGTCCGGGGCGCGGTACGTCAATACTTGGCGCGAGATTGCCGCGGATTCCAGCGGACAACACTCGCAGCGGCACATGCACATGCCAGGGACAAACTGCCCCTCATTGAGACGCATGTCAGCGTCTGCTGGTGACCGGCCCAGACAGCCCGGCTGGTGGGGAGGCTTTTTTCGACAGGACACGCGAGAGGACACAAGACCCTTCCGAAGGCCACATTGCCAGAGGAATGCAGGAGGCACGGGTCGCGAGACACGGGGCACAAAAGTGCCCGTGACTTGGCAGGGTCGACCTACTAATCTGGGCCGACTGTATTTTTTCATGCGAGCGACAAGAAACAAAGTCTGGGCCAAACGCGAAAAGCAGAAGGGCCAGCCAAGAAATTTCCGCCAGGCGAAACAGGAATCGCCCAAGCGGCGAGCTGGGAAACTCAGCAGGGGCATGATGTCTCCGATGCGGAAGAATCATGTCTCTCTCTCTCTCTCTCTCTCTCTCTCTCCCCAGGCCCCCGACGTCATGATTTTTTCATGACTAGCATGACCCACTCCCTGGGACCGGATTTTCATCCCGAATCGTTTTTACCGGCCCCGAGGCCCGGCAAGGGCCCCCGGAGGCCGAAAAGAGCGAAAAGCGGCGACCAGCCCAAGGGGGAAGTAAGAGGGGGCGGGCCTTCTCAGAAGGTTCGGGAATCCACCAGCCTTCTGACAAGTTTGCTACGCCTTCCCCGAAGACACAGAATACCCCTCAGAAGGCGCGAAGGGCTTCTGAGAAGCCCCGCCAAGTTCCGACAGGGCCTTCTCCCTCTCACCTTCATCGGCTACACGCAAGAGTGACCCTGGGTAAGAGTGACCTTTGATGCGCGGCTTTTGGGGGGCCGCGGGGGGACCAAACTCCGGCGCGCAAGACGCCACTATCGCGTCGCAATCGGCGATCGGGGGACCCCATCGGGCCCGCACCAGAGGCCACTCTGGCGAAAGGTCACTCTGACGTCTAGTCGATTCTGAGAAGCCCCGCCACCCTCCGACGGGGCCTCCTCCTTCTCCTCCTTCTCCTCCTCCTCCTCCTCCTCCTCCTCCTCCTCCTCCTCCTCCTCCCTTCTCGCCTTCCCCCCCTCGCTCGGCCCGCCGCCGAGGAACAAAAAAAAAACTCCGCCGCGAGTTCCCCGTGGCTCCATGGGGCTCCCTCGTCCCCACCGCCAGCGCCAGTCATTCGGAGGCCTGGAGATGGGCACCCCCAAAAAAAAACACAAGAGGGTTGCCTCCACAGGGGGAAGATGATCCCAGATTTCGGCGTTGGTGGCAACATCTCGGTAGCCTCGGACACCAGAATATCACCACCACCACCCAGGTCGGGATCGTCTTCCCTCGGTGGAGGCACACCGCCGATCTTGGTGTTGGTGTCAACCTCTTGCGGGCAATGTCTTTATCCACATCCAGTGCGTCTTGGAGTTTCGGACTCTCTTCCCAAGAAACATGAGGCGCACTGGATATGGATTATAATCTGCCTCCAAAAGGCTCAATTTTTATCCATATCCAGTGCGCCTCGGCCTTGCGGCGCCCCTTCCAAGAAAGTCCAAGACGCACTGGATATGGATATAAATATTGCCCGCACCTCTAGGCCTGCGATTCATGCCACGCTGCTCACCAATTACAGGAGGCGGAGGCGGGGAGGCGAGCGAAAGCCGGCTTCCCCCCGCCTGCGGCCTGCCTGGGAAGCCCCGACCCCCTCCTGGATCCTGGAGGCCTCCCAGACTGGGCCGGAGGCTTGTGCCGCACCGCCGGTGCATCGGCGATGCACCGGCGCAGGAATCGTCGACGCCGGCGATGCACTGGCGACGTCGACGTGCAGCAGATCGGGCTGCACGTCGAGCCGCATCGGCGAGGCATCGGCGATGCGTCGCGACCCTCCGCCCCCGCCTGCTCCGACCCAATCTAGGAGGCCCAGGATTTCCACAGGGCCGGCCTTTCGTCCTGAGCCGTTGCTTGACGGCCCCGGGGGCCTGGCGATGGCCCCCAGGCGCGGCAGAAGCGACGAGCACCTCCGCGCCCAGGCGGGGAGGGAGATGCAGCGCAGCATGTCAACACAGGGTCCCCGGATGTCCCGGCCCTCTCCCCAGTCGGTGGCGAGCGAGGGGAGGAAGGTGAGAAGGAGAAGGCCCTCTCGGCAGGCGGCGGGGCTTCTCAGAAGCCCTTCGCGCCCTCTGCGGGGTGCTCTGTGCCCTCGGGGCAGGCTCAGAGCACTTGTCGGGAGGCCGGTGGGCTTCCGAGCCTTCCGAGAAGGCCTTCTCCTTCTGACTTCCCCCCTGGGCTCGCCGCCGAATTTCTGTTGCTGTTTCCGCCCTACTTCCGTGGACTTCCGCCCTATTTGATGTTGGGTGCAGAAGTTTCCGCCCTACTTGTTCGGCTTCTTGTAATTCGGTGGATTTCCGATGCAATTGTAAGTTCGAAAAAAAGCCAAAGTAGGGCGGATCTGGATTCAGGGGAGAGAGGAGAGGAGGAGGGGAGGAGGAGGAGGAGGAGGAGGAGGAGAGGAGGAGGAGGAGGAGGCGGAGGAGGAGGAGGAGGAGGCGGAGGAGGGAGGAGGAGGAGGAGGCGGAGGAGGAGGAGGAGGAGGAGGCATTTTGGCTCAAGGCGTGCTGAATTCCCGGGGCTCGCCGCCGAATTCGCCAAGGCCAGCTTCGTCCCGAGTCGTGGTCTGACGGTCCCCAGGGGCCCTGCGAGGGCGCCCCGCGGCCAGAAGCGACGAACGCCTCCGCGCTGAGCTCTCCTCCTCCTCCTCCTCCTCCTCCTCCTCCTCCTCACTCCTCCTCCTCCTCCACCTCCTCCCCTCCTCCCTATTCCTCCTCCCCCTCCTCCTCCACCTCCTCATCCTCCTCCTCTCCTCCTCCTCCTCCTCTCCTCCTCCTCTCCTTCCTCCTCCCCTCCCCCTCCCCCTCCTCCTCCTCCTGCTCCTCCTCGCGTCGTCCTCCTCCTCCTTATCCTCCTCCCCTCCCCACTCCCCCCTCCTCCTCCTCCTCCTCTCCTCCTCCCTCCTCCCCTCCTCCTCCTCCCCTCCTGGTCCAGCGCCGATCCGAGGAGGCCCGCACGGCCTCCGAGAGCTGTGGGGGGGGGGGGGGCGGGCGGTAGGGGGGGGGGGGGCCTGGCACGCAAGAGGGCACGTCGACCTGGAGTCGGCGATGGCTCGCTGATCGATCGGCGATGGGCCTCCGATGGCGGCACCGCACGCTCCTGGGCGGGGTGGGCTCTCGGGCCCCTGTCGGCGACCAGGGGGCGACTGGGCTGGGGGCTGACGCGTACCCGTCGTGATCCTTCCCAAGACGTCGGATGCCTCGGCTGCGTGCAGGGGGGACCCTGGGCAGGAGTGGCCTTGGGTGCGCGGCTGCAGGGGGCCGCGGGAGAGGCCAGGTCCAAGCGGATCCGAGCGCGCCAGCCGATGCTGGCTGGACCCCTGCGTGCCCACACCAAAGGTTACCCCGGCGAAGGTTCAATCTTGCGCGTAGTTTCGGAGGCCTGGAAATGGGCACCAAAGAAAACACAAGAGGGTTGCCTCCACAGGGGGAAGAGGATCCTAGATTTCGGCGTTGGTGATACTACTTCGGCCACCTCGGACGCCAGAATATTACCACCATCACCGAGATCGGGATCTTCTTCCCTCGGTGGAGGCACACCGCCGAGATTGGTGTTCGTGTCAACCTCTAAGCCTGCGATAGTTGATATGTCCGGGCTGCGTGCCGCCTTTCTCTTTTTCTGCTCCTCAGAAATACGCCCTCCCGACGCACGGCGTGACAACCAGGCTGCAGGCGCGGCGCTGCGTGCCTCGAGGCCTCCTGCTGGCACGGGGGGAAACGAGGTCCCGAGGCACACGGGTCCCGAGGTCCCCTCCCCCTCCTCCTCCTGCTCCTCCTCGTCGTCCTCCTCCTCCTCCTCCTATTCCTCCTCCCCCTCCCCCTCCCCCTCCCCCTCCTCCTCCTCCTCCTGCTCCTGCTCCTCCTCCTCCTCCTCCTCCTCCTCCTCCTCCTCCTCCTCCTCCTCCTCCTCCCGAGGCACACGGGTCCCGAGGTCCCCGGGTCCTTCCCCCGGGACGCGAGCCTCAGCCCGAGCCGTGGCCTGCCAGCCCCAGGGCCCGTGGAGGGCCCCGAGGGCCCCGAGAGAGAGGGCGAAGGACCTCGGGATCCGTTGCCCTCGGGGCCCGCTTCCCCCCCATGGCGATCCCGGTGGGGGTCCGAGTTCGGTCAGGCACCTTGGGAGGGCGCGTCGCCACGGCGGCCCCGGCGACACGCCACACCCCGCAAGTGACTGGCACGTCGCTCCGCTCCGCCTGGCGGCCGCCGCCGCCGCCGCCGCCGCCGTCGCCGTCGCCGTCGCCGTCGCCGTCGCCGTCGCCGTCGCCGTCGTCGCCGTCGTCGTCGTCGCCGTCGTCGTCGCCGTCGTCGTCGTCGTCGTCGCCGTCGTCGCCTCCGTGCTGGATGGCGTGTCGCCACGGCGGCCCCGGCGGCACGCCATGCCCCGCGAGTGGATAGCGCGTCACTCCGCTCAACCGGGGCAGGAGGCCGACGTTATAGCTGGGAAGGGGAGATGGCGCCGCATCGTCGAAGTATCGGCGATGCATCGGTGACGTCGACCATGCATCCCAGACACCCTCGAATCGTCAAGAGATCACAACAAAAGATATTTCGCTCTTCTCGGCCTCCGAAGGCCCTTGCCGGGCCTCGGGACCGTCAAAAAACGACTCAGGATGAAAACCGATCCCAGGGAAGGGGTCGAGACCCTTGGGGGTCAACGTCAAGAAAAAACCATGACGTCGGGGGCCTGGCATCGGCGCCGACGGCGTGGAGAGAAACGGGCTCCACCTCGAGACGCCTCGGCGACGCATCGCCGATCGCATCGGCGATGTGGCGCGGTCCTCCGACCCCATCTACGGCAGGCTCGTGTCGTGGCGACCCTGGCGTTGGCTTCTGACACCGCGGGGACCGCTCAACCTTGAACGATCGAGCATTTCCGAAACGTCGGATCGTTCAACATCGACCGGTTCTGGGTCGCCAGCGGCGCTCAGCGTTGAACGCCAGCGGCGGGGTCGCCGCCGATCGACACGGCGCGAACCTACTGCATTCTGGCCCCATCTGTTCTGACCCCCGACATGCGATGCCAATTTTGTTTTCAATACGGGGTCCCTGAGGCATCCATTTCCCCGGGACCGGCTTTTCATCCTGAGTCGTTCTTGGACGGCCCCGGACCAACAACATCCCGTCCTGGACTTTACCAGGACGGGAGCACGTCGGGGACCCCATCTGGGATGCACCGCCGATGTATCGGCGATGCACCGGCGACGTCGGCGATGCATCGGCGACGTCGGCGTGGGGAAAAGCGATGCATCGGCGACGCGACGCGATCCTCCGAGCCCATCTACTCGGACCCCACCTGAGAGGCATAAGAATCGGCGGTGGACGAACCTCCCTATAGCAATCCTCCCCTTAGTGAAAACGGCCTGGGACCGAAACCGACGGACCTGGACCCGCAAAAATGACGGCCGCGACGCCCTCCCGCGAACCGAAAACGGCCGATTCGCCCATCGACGTGTCAGGGTAAAAGGCCTGTCCACGCCCGAAAGGAGGGAGGGGAGGAATGGAGGGAGGAAGGGAGGGGAGGAAGGGAGGGAGGGAGGGAGGGAGGGGACGGAGGGAGGGAGGGGAGGGAGGGAGGGGGGGGAGAGAGGGACGGGAGGGGAGGGAGGGACGGGAGGGGAGGGGAGGGAGGGAGGGGAGGGGAGTGGAGGGAGGGAGGGAGGGAGGGGAGGAAGGGTAAAGGGCCTGTCCACGCCCGACCACCTGCTCGGACCCCCTCCGAGAGGCACAAAGACATCCGGGAGGCGCCCGGCGTGTTGCGCCGGCGTCGGCCGCCCCAATGCAGTGCGCGCGCGGAGGCCCAGGGAGGCCCCGCGGGCCGTCGCGAGCTACTCCGCGGGCACGCTCACGAAGGTTTCTATCGTCGGCGGCGCGCCCCAGGGGGGGGCTCCCTCCTCCTCCTCCTCCTCCTCCTCCTCCTCCTCCTCCTCCTCCTCTCCTCCTCCCTCCTCCTCCTCCTCCTCCTCCTCCTCCTCCCCCTTCTCATCCCCCTCCCCTTCTTCCTCCTCCTCCTCCTCCTCCTCCTCCTCCTCCTCCTCCGCCTCCTCCTCCTCGTCCTCCGGAGAAAGACTCCGAGGCGGGAATTTATCCACATCCACCGCCTGGGATACGACGTCCTGGCGACCCGGCGGGCGGTGGACATGGACACATTTCGGCCCCCGGGGGGCCCGAACATGTCCATGTCCACCGCCTGCCGAGGCTCCGAAAACTGACCCTCCAGGCGGTGGATATGGATAAACTCCCGCCTCGGGCAGGGGGGGGGAGGCAGAGCAAGACGAGGCCAGGACGAGGATCAGACCGGGTGAGGATACGCGTCGTTCATTTCTGGTCGTGCTCATTTCTAAGTGTGCTCGTCTCTAACTGTTCCTGGCCCCCTAGTGGCCAGGAAGAGGTCCAGGATAGAAGAATTAGAAATGACAGGATCTTGGCCCCCCCAAAAATCAAAGAACCCTCGAAGAATTAGACATGAGCAATGTGTACATCGAGAGAATCTCTGGGATCGGGCGGCTCTGGAACGGATCTGCCCTCTTCCTGGCACCGTCCGGGGGGCAGGCAAAAAAGCCCAGACCTCCAGCGCGTCGAGCAACATCAAGACGGAACTTTCTCGCAAGTTGCGGCGTCGGGGAGGCCGCGCCGGGCCCTGGGGCCACCAAAAAGCGACCTGGGATGGAGACCTTCGGCGGCGAGGGAGGGGGGGGAAGTGAGAAGGAGAGGGCCTTCCCAGAAGGCCCGGCAGTCCCCCGGCCTCCCGAGAAGTGTCCTGAGCCTTCCCCGGATGCACAGCAAACTTCTCCGAAGGCGCGAGGGCTTCTGAGAAGCTCCGCCGCCTTCTGGGGAGGAGGAGGAGGAGGAGGAGGAGGAGGAGGAGGAGGAGGAGGAGGAGGAGGAGGAGGAGGCCTGCTCCTTCTCCTTCCCCCGCCTCGCTTGCCGCGGAGAGCTGGCCCCCGGGGAGGTGGTCCGGAGCTCCGGGGACCCCAGGGGCCGGCCCTCTCAGAAGGCTCTCGGAGGCCTGGAAATGGGCACCAGCACCAACACAGGGGGTTGCCTCCACAGGGGGAAGTCGGATGCCTCGGCTGCGTGCATGCGGGACCCTGGGCAGGAGTGGCCTTAAGGGTGCGCGGCTGCAGGGGGCCGCGGGAGAGGCCAGGTCCAAGCAGATCCGAGCGCGCCAGCCGATGCTGGCTGGACCCCTGCGTGCCCACACCAAAGGTTACTCCGGCGAGAGTTCAATCTTACGCGTAGCTTCGGAGGCCTGGAAATGGGCACCAGCAAAAACACAAGAGGGTTGCCTCCAAAGGGGGGAGATGATCCTAGATGTTCGGTGTTGGTGGTAATAGTTCGGCCACCTTGGAAGCCAGAATATTACCACCATCACCGAGATCGGGATGTTCTTCCCTCGGTGGAGGCACACCGCCGAAATTGGTGTTGGTGTCAATCTCTAGGCCTGCGAGGCTCAGAAGGCCCGCTGCCCCCAGCCCTCTGAGAAGCTTTCAAAGCCTTTTCCGAAGCCACTCCACGGAAGGCTGCTCAGAACACGGAGGGCTTCAGAGAAGCCCCACCGCCTTTCGAAACGGCCTAATCCCCCGCACTCCCCCCACCCCCACAAACATCCGACGTCGTGATTTTTTGCGGGTCGGCTTTGGACGGTCTCAGGACCCGACGAGCCAGAGGCTGAAAGCGGCCAAAAACTCCCCCGTCACTCCTGCAATGACAGAAAAGACTCCCCCCTCGGCGCGCCGCCGATATAGGGGGAGGGGCTGATGGTGGGGCAACGCTGAGGAGGTCACCACTATGCTCGCCATCGCTCGGACGTCCATTCCCGGTGCATTTCTCGGCTGCGCGCGTGTATTTATTCGCAAGATGGCCCAAAATGCTCCCCGATGCACGTGCACTTGTCTTCCACGTGCACTTGTCTAGGCCTGCCACCGTTCATTGCGATGCGAGAGCTCAGCATTTGTCATGTCTGGCGCTGATTTTGCTGGGTTCTCGAAAATGCTCCCCGATGTCGCTCCTCCTCCTCCTCCTCCTCCTCCTCCTCCTCCTCCTCCTCCTCCTCCGCTTCCTCTTCCTTCTCCTCCCCATCCACCCTCTCCTCCCCCTCCTCCCCCTCCTCCTCCTCCTCCTCCTCCTCTCCTCCTCCTCCTCCTCTCCTCCTTTTTCTCCTCCTCCTCCTCCACCTCCTCCTCCTCTTTTCCTCCTCCTCCCCCCCTGCGCGGCTACGACCAGATCAAGCATGTGAAACACGTCAACGCCCACACATCTTGCGAGCAGTACCGTGCCCTCTCTGCCGAGGACAGGCGCATCCTCACCTTGGTGAGCCTGCCAGGATGTCAGGACGTGCGACTAGGTTGTGCCCTCACCCATGTGAGGCCCCTGTGGTACTGGCCCTCGCCTGTGCTACGGGAAGGGGACAAAAAAGTGGAACCCCTTCGTTCGTCTTCGGCCCCGCATTCGCCCCCCCCCCCCCCCCAATTTCAAAGCTGGGTTCGGCCTCTCGGAGGCCCCCGGGGTTCCACTTGTTTGTCCTCTCACGCCTGTGCTGCCAAATCCTTGAGGCCAACTTTGAAATTGGGGAGAGCCCTGACTCCGGATCCGCCCTACCTTGGGGAAATTCGTAAGTAGGGCTTGGAATTTCCGCCTTACTTTTCAAGCCACGCTGATGTAAATTTCCGCCCTGCTTTTCTGTTGCTGTTTCCGCCCTACTCCTGTGGATTTCCGCCCTGCTTTATGTTGGGTGCAGAAATTTCCGCCCTACTTGTTCGGCTTCTTATAGGTGGATGTCCGACGCAATTTTTAAGTTGGAGAAAAAGCCAAAGTGGTGCGGATCTGGAGTCGGGGTCCACTTGTTTGTCCATCTACGGTAGCATGGTCCTCTCTTATTGACGAAGCGCTCACCAACCACGTGGCCGTTCTCGGCCCGGAGTGCGTGAGCTTCTCCACGGAGCGGGGCTGCCTGCTGGCGGCCAAACCGGCCGACGGCCATCATGCGTCGGGACTGGTGCAAGGCATGGCTGATGACAACGGATGGCTCTGGACCCGACGCCCAAACGAGGAGCGGTGTGGAAAACGAGCGGATCGGATTCTCAGGTGCATTGCTCGCATCAGATGCCTCCAGGCGGTCAGCAACTTGGGCCAGGTTTCGGGAGAGATCGACAGGGTCGAAGTCGAGGCCATGACCATGCGCCTGGTTAAGTTGTTCGCAAAGGGCAGATCAAATGCAGGCATGACATTGTTCAACATGTGTTTTATCTGGCACGGTTAGATCTGAAACACGGCGGCAGAGTGGGAAAACATGCCAGGCGTGCAAACACGTCTGGCCAAGTATTCGCCACATACATATAGGTAACATGTCCGAATTACGATTGCTTGAGACGTAGCATTGCTTGTCGAAGAGGCCTTCCTGCCAATTGTTGAACGTAGGTCCCCAGAGTCACAGCTAAATTTGGTTGGATCTGTCTACGCCAATGTGCTATACTGTATATACGGTCTGAGATGCTGTCTGCAGCTTGTGAGTTGGAAGCGCATCTCTTGGGCGATGCACCTTCTGAACGCCTTCACCACGAGTGGGTATCCAGACATGGGCCAAACCCACGTTCAGGTGGATTCCATTCACCACTTTCTTCGTCTTCAGATGCCAACGTGGTCGCTGACGTCTTCACCAACGAAACTGTTGAGCTACACCCGCCTGCTCCCCCCATGAGTTCCTGGAGAGAGTAGATGCTGCCAGCTCTGAGGCTTTGTACTCGTAGAACGACGTGCTGCTGTTTTCCCATGCTTCGAGCAGGAGGAGAGGTTTTCCAAGCACCTTATTTCCTTCCGCTCGGAGGACATTCAGCGCTGCTAAGTGGCACGACTGGTGAACGGCCTCCATCGGCACCCAGTGTAGCAACTGTTTCTGTGTGCCTGAGCCTGGCAGAGGCCCCAGCATGCCTGGATGTCGGGGGCGTCCTCAATTCCTGAAGGATTTTCGGCTTCACCCCTCGGGCCACAAGTTGGTTGCCGCCCCCCCCAGGGGAGTGGCAACGCCATGAGTTGTGCGGTGCCAACCTGCACGGCTCCAGTTGTTGTGTGTTTGCCGTGTGGAGCTTGGGCCCAGCAGCGTCATCGTGATAAGCTTCGGGCCCCCCTGCGTGAAGCCGACCCCCAAGGGCCTTTGAAGCATCGGCCCGCATGCACGTTTGGCCAGAAGCATCGATGCGTCTGCCCCGCTCCATCAGATCGTGCCCGGCAGGCGTGCAGCCAGAGTCGACCACCACCAGTGCCGCTCGTTCGAATCCTGATTCTGTCTTGAGTTTCGAGGCTCGGATGGCTGCGCTGCACGCGAGACTCAGGGCCAAGGAGGAGGCCGCCCAGACCTCAGCGTCTTCCCCTGGATGGAGCTGCGCACTGCTGCTCGCCTCGCTCGACTCTGGAGGCACGCGGCGCCGCCTTCCCCTCTGCTCTCTGCTATGCAGCAGGCATCACCATGGTCATAGGGTCCTCCTCTTCCTCCTCCTCCTCCTCCTCCTCCTCCTCCTCCTCCTCCTCCTCCCTCCTCCTCTCCTCCTCCTCCTCCTCCTCCTCGTCCTCCTCCTCCTCCTCCTCCTCCTCCTCCTCGTCCTCCTCCTCCTCCTCCTCCTCCTCCTCCTCCTCCTCCTCCTCCTCCCCTTCGACCCTGGACCTTCGATTCTTTCCAGGAGGAACCGTGGAGGCCTCCCAAACTGGGGCCCGAGCTGATGGGGTCGGAGGATCGCGCCGCCCCCCAAACACTCCAGGGCCTTCCAAAACGGCCCCAGGCGTCCAGAGATCTCTTCGCTTCGACCCTGGGCCTTCGATTTCCAGGAGGAGCTGTGGAGGCGAAGGGGGCCCGAGCAGATGGGGTCGGAGGCTTGCGCAGCATCGCCGACGCATCGGCGATGCATCGGCGATGCATCGAAGAAGTCTGCGCGGAGAAGATCTGGCTCCTCATGGAGCCGCATCGGTCCTCGCTGGGACCCGATTTGGGAGGAATGGACACTGGCGAACCCCCTAGTGGCGACCCCCTTGGCACTGCCCGAGATGGATTGACGAGCCGCGTCGTCGACAGGTCTGGGTCTTAGCTGCCCCGATACGCAACACGCGACGCGCAGCGTATTGATACGGAGCTCAACGCGTAGACTGGAAACGCAGGCCTGGCGCGATGCATTCGCCAACACGTGGGCCAACACGTTGAGCCAACACGCAGCGTGTTCACCCAGACGTTTTGAGCACGGCACGTGCTGCGTTTCACAACGGGCGCATCGAGGCAGCTAAGGTCTGGGTGTGTCACGCGGAAGCCTCCGATCAGCTGCTCCGGCAGCTCGCCCTCGGCCTGCGACTCGAGCAGCACGCCCAGCTCCAGGTCTAGCGACGAGGCCCCCGACCTCAGCACCGTCAGGATGCGCTTCGCCGCGCCGCTGTGCACGATGTTGAGCGAGATTTCGCACTCCTGAGGGGCAACGTTAGATTCGAGGTTCGAGGCTCGAGGCTTTCGGACGTTTTCGCTGGTTCTCGGCGATTTCCTGGCCTCGGGATGCCTTCCAGCGGCTGCGCCTCGCCGAGACCGTTCCGAGGGTGCCCAGACCCTCCCGAACGGCCGCCAGAGGCCCGAATTATGACCCGAAGACCACCACGGGACCAGTTCAGGGGAGGAGGACATCGAGCTCGAATCGGCGATGTATCGCCGATAGAGCAGCGATACGCCTCCTGGGCGAAATGGGGCTGTCGGAACCGCATCGGCGAGGAATGAGAGGGGGAGGAGGAGGAGGAGGAGGAGGAGGAGGAGGAGGAGGAGGAGGAGGAGGACGAGGACGAGGACGAGGAGGAGGAGGAGGAGGAGGAGGAGGAGGAGGAGGAGGAGGAGGAGGAGGATGCTGGGCGCGCTCACCTTTTCCTCTCCCGAGGGGCCAGAACAGATTATGTAGGAATCGACAGCCAGCTGAGATCTCAGCGAATTGGGAAGGCAGCGCAAAAGATTCGGCCTCGAGCCGAGGTCGCCTGAGCAGGCTTCGCAGCATCACCGTGGAGAGAGGCGGCACGCTGCGACACGGCAAGGAGGTGGAGGGGAGGAGGAGGTCGACTTGAGCCGCAACACCAGCGGCCAACAAGTACGCACGCCCAGCAATGTACTTCGGAGAAGCTCGCTCTGCTGGGCGCGCTCACCTTTTCCTCTCCCGAGGGGCCAGAACAGATTATGTAGGAATCGACAGCCAGCTGAGATCTCAGCGAATTGGGAAGACAGCGCAAAAGATTTGGCCTCGAGCCGAGGTCGCCTGAGCAGGCTTCGCAGCATCACCAATTCCCATTCTATGCCCTGGCCGCTGAGGCCGTCTTCAGAGGGCAAGCAATCACATAAGTCACTGGCACGCAAGTTGATTCAGACGACTGGCTTCGATGGCCCCGGCGGAGGCCCACATCCACTTGGCCCCTTGAGTACACATGCTTGACGGATAGGGCTCGGCGCGGGAGGTCCATTTTTGAGACGACCCTGGAATAGCGCCAGAAAGGTGAACGTGGGCCTCCCCAGAAAAATCACACACTCCGTGGCGGGAAGAGCAAAGGCAGGAGAAAGAGGGGGGAGCAAGCTGGAGGTGCCAGGCCAAATTTTTTGTGCGCTTGCGCCAAGGCACTTTGAATTGGCAAAAATCAAAGACATAAGCTCGGCAGGCAGGATGAGTGGCTAGTCTTTTCATGTTCGGAGTGAACCAAGCGAGACTACTACTAGGATTCTCGGCGACCACTGGGACCCGGGCACGAATACACGAGCCGATGATCCGGCACGTGGCGAGGAGGGAGCGGTTGCCCGCGAGGGCCCGCTCGAGGCCCACAGGGTCCAGATCGGTACGCCCGAAAAGTTGGGAGTGGGTTCGGCACCGCCCGCGGGAGGCCACGCTCCACGTGGAGCAGGGAAAGGCCAGCCAGATCCCCCGGACCAGCTTGCTGCTGATCCACCCCACGATCAAATCCACGACCACGGGGTTGTTGAGATTAAAAGCGGGGTTGAATTTGGCGTCGACCTCAATGACTCCCCAGCCGCCACACTTACGAAGACCGCGAGCGATACCCCCGACCCCAGAGAATAAGTCAAGGAAAACTTGGCCTTTGCGGGGAGCAGCGGCGGAGGCGGCCGAAAAGGCCTGAGACCAAGCTCGGTGGATGGCATCCCGACTCAGGCGGGTCGCGGAGTCGAGGGTGTCCCCAGCCTTCCAGACTCCAGCTCCACGGGCGGCGGCGCTCAGCCCCTGCGCCCTGGTGGCGCTTGGCAGCGCAGCCGCCCGGAGAAGAGGCCGGCGAGGTTGACCTCGACCCACTCGCCGAACGCGTTGATCTCGGGAGACAGCTTCTCGCACTCGGCCAGGTAGCGGGTCCCCTTGCGGCACCGCCGTGTGCTGGACTCGCTCAGGTGCCTGAGCCGCTCCTGGACCGCCCCGAAATCCCTCACTTTGAACAGCACGTCGTGGGAGGCGGCCCCGTGGCGGACCTGGTACGGGCGCACGTCGTCGAGCCCCGCCAGGCTGGCGCACGCGGCGAAGTCCCGGCGGAACCTTGGGCCGGAGAAAGGCCACAGGGGCTTGTCCTTCTGGCTCCGCGCCTTCAGGGCACTCAGGGCGAAGCTCGCGCTCTGCACGGCGTCTGACTCTAGCACCATCCCCTCGTCGAAGTGGCCCGTCTTGCTCCGATCGGGCAGCTCCTCGGGGAACAGCAGAATGGCCCACCTGTTGATCCGGCTCTGACGAGCTGGCGCCACCAGGGATCCGCCCACCATGCCAATCAGGTCGCTGGGCAACCTGAGGTACGCGTCCCAGGCGACGAGGAGGCCGAGGCAAAAGTCGAGCAAGCCGCAGAACACGCCGGCCCCGATGATCGCGAAGACCCCCTGCTTGGGAAGCGGTCTGCGGGTCTTGCCAGGAGCCATCTTCTTGAAACCCTTGAGTGCGGCCCGGCTGCCCCCCAGGGCCCCCGGCCGCTTCAAGCCCTGACTCGGATGAAAGAAAAGGACAGCAGCCAAGGTCTTCTCGCCCCGGTCCCGGTTCCAACCGTCGAAGAACAGGTGATCCAGATAGCTGGCGAGGGCGGCCCGGTCTAAGTCGACCACGGTGCTGAGCCTCAGCTTCCCCCCCCGGCTCCAGTCCAGGAAATCGGTGTAAGCTCGCTGGTACTGCAGCTGTGTCCCGTGCCCCGCTCGAGAAGTCTGTAAGAACGTCAGACCCTCCACGGCCGCCATGGAAGCTGCGGGCAGAAGGCGGCGCCGATGGCCCGCACGACGAGCCTGCAGAGCGGCCGCTCGCGCCGTCCTCTTGGCCCGCGCGGTCCGTCCTCCGCGAACTGCAGCAGCTGCGGCCGCTCCCTGAGCCCGGGCTGCCCGAGCGACTGGAAGAGGTGGACGAGCTGGCGCGGCCACCACCGCGGTCACCGCAGTCGCTGGCGGGCTCGACGTCGCACCGCGCCAGCCCAGCGGGGCGGGCCTCGGGATCGAGCCCGTCGCCGAGCCCACAAAGCCCGAGCGGAGCTGCAAGATGCCCGCGGGCTCGCTGCACGATGGTCCGCTCGAGCTCACGATCGAAGGCAGTGCCGGCCGAAGGCCTCGCGCCGCCCGTGTCCCCAGGCCTGCCCCAGGACGCCGGAGCATCGCGGAACACTGGCCCGCGTGGGTCGCGCCTCCATGCGCTGGCGCGGGCCGAGAGGCTGCGGGAGGGATCGTCTGCAGGGTTCAACTCTGATGCAATCCATCGGACCACGAATGAAGAATTTGAGAGAATAGAAAGACACAATAACTCCTGACATGTTCGATTCAGCAATGGGGATGTCGAACGCCCTTTGCCCGTAGCTAAGACCACAGACATGTTGTCGCACAGAAGTAGGTGACGGCGGCCGAAGCTGCTGACATTTCGTAGCTTGTGTCGGGCCCCCATAACCAAGGCCCGCCCTTCCGCCCGCATGATATTCTCCGACGAGGCGAACCGGCCGAACAAAACGGTGGACCAGGTGTCGAAATCCCCGATCTGCTCCCCATCGACGCGGAAGAAGTCGGTGACCCCACGGCGGGCTCTCACGTGGGAAACTCGAGGCTTGGAGGGGGCTTGAGGGGCCAGCCCGAGACTCTGCTCTCGGGCGCAGATGGCATCCTCGACGCAGTACCTCCACTTCTCCGCACGGCTGGCCACGGCTCGAACTGCCTCGGAGTCCCAAGCCCGCTCGCAGACGCCGAAACCCCCGAAGTCGAACTCGGTGGCCCCGGAAGCGTCGGAGGCCATCACGCACGGGTCGAACGGCCTCTTGGTGTCGACAGCGGCAAACGGCAGAAGGGCTGCCGCGATCCGCAGCTCCCGAATCACACAACTCCAGAGACGCCACCGCTGCTCCCCGGCCATTTCACAAAAACGGAAAGCGCTGCTGAGGATAGACAGAAGCTCACGTTTCAACAAGAAAGCCCAGGTTAAATGGCCCAGGACCCGGCGCATCTGGACCCCGGTGCACCAGCCCTGACGGCAAAGCTCCAGGAGCCCCAGACGAATTTTCCACAGGCGCCGGGTCGAAAGCGAAATGATTCCAGAGCTGCGTTCAAACGTGAGGCCTGTGAAAGACTGCTGTTCCGACGCCCCGACCATCCCTTTACAAACCAGACCACGAGATCCCAGGAGCTCGACGGCAGACGCGCATCCGTCCGAGCAGCACTTTTCGCTGGTCCCGAGGAAAGCGACCCCGTCGACATACACGGCAGCGAGAGGCCCTTCCTCGAGGCCAGCGACTGCACGTCTATCCTGGACCAGTCTGGAGGGGGGGAGGCCGGAGTCAAGAACAGCCTGCTCAACCATACACTGACAGAAATATAAAGACCAAGACCATCCCATGGGTAAAACGCGGAGGACGGGCGAGAGCTCACCCACCCCGCGAAGCTCCCCAGAGCTGCCTGGACAGAATGCCTCAAGGTGGCGACAGGAGACGGGGGAAGGACAAAATACTCTTCAATCCCTGCAGGCAGGCCGATCCAATAGAATGCATTGTCAACATCTGCCTGACACAAAGAGAGCTCGCACTGATCTGGCACGTATAGAGAGTTCCATGCACTAGCCGTGGGCAACTGAGAATACTCGGGCGAATTGAAGAACTCGTTGCTGCCCCGAGTATCAAAAATCAGTCTCTGCCTGACGCCATCACTCTTCCACACAAAGAACACTCCCAATGTCGCGTCAAGGCGGCCTCGCAGGTTCACCAAGCCGGCGGCCTGGAGGTCTAACACGAATTGGGCGTAGGTGCCCTTCGCACGTAGACGACTGTCGACGTGGGGCTTAAATTTCTGCACTACTTCCCGGCTGACACCGGGCCGCAAAAGATGCTGTCGCCACTCCTTCCAGAAACTTAAAGCCGCACCGCCGAGGCACTGGCCCCCTTCGGCCAGGACCCCGCTGGTCGGCAGCGAGACAAGGTCTCGCTGGTAAGGAGCCGTCTTCACCGGGTCACCGTGCCCGGGCCTGCTCCCGCACAGCTCACTGCAGGCTGCCGCGGGGCTCACATCCGGGGCGCCGAGTCGCTCCCAACCACGTCGGAGATGCTCGACACCTCGGAGCTGAGCGAGAGAAAGTTGATGCGAGACCTGGGCCTCGCCGTGGTTGTACAAAAGGTTGAGGGCGGTCACCGACTCGCGCACACGCTCGTCGACGAGGGTCCGGCGGAGGAGCCGGCTGCGGACGCTGCGGCTGCAGCGCCCAGCGCCGGGCGGCTCGCGCGGCGCCGAGAGGGCGGCCAGGTTGATAGGCAGCAGCTCGCGAGCGACCACCATCCCAGCCGAGGAGCCGGCAAGGCCCGCCCAAGGGCAGCCCGGCCGGCCGGGGGCGCCTGTGGGCTACTTGCCCCCGCGGCCGCCACCGCGGCCGCCCCCGGCATCGCCCTCCGGCTGGCCGCCGCCGCCGCCTCCGCCGCCGCTGCCACGGCCCGCCTGGAGCCGCTTGAGCTCCGCCGCCTGCTGCTGGATCTTCTGCTGCGACGAGCCCTTGTCGTCGCCGCCTCTGCCCGCGCCGCCTCCTCCGCCACCGCGACTGGAGATGGCCCGCTCCTCGCGAAGCTTGCGCCGCTCCTTGAGCACGCCCGCCTCGCGGTGGAGCTCGGCCGTGATGTAGTCCTGGAGCTCCGGCGCGATCATGAGGTGGCCGCGCGTCTCCGAGGTCCCCATCATGAGGTAGTCGTCCTCTGCACCATCGACGCCGTCGGACCGGCCCATGGCCCTCTCGCGGTAGCGGTGCTCGATGAGCTGCGCCCGCCTGGCGATGTACTCGAAAGAAGCCAGCTCGCTGACGTTCAGTTGGTCGAAGGACATGGCTACGTCGAACACGCGCATACACAGCTCGTGCTCGGCAACGCCAGGGTCACTGGATGAGAGCCCGGTCTCGTGCCTCCACTTCGTGTGCCGTGCCCGCGGGTGAGCATCCTGGTCCGCCAGGAACCGCAGGCACCAGCGAATGGTGCGCGGACCAAGCACTGGCCAAAAAGGCCAGCTCGTCTCGCTGAGGAGGTTGACGGCGTCCTTGAACAGGCGGCGCCGCTCCCCCTCGGAATTCACCTTGATGCTGAGCACACGGGCGTCTAAGTCCCCGTCGCCGCCCAGCTCGTCGCGCTTCAGCACTCTCACAACATGCGCCTCCGAGCCCATCACCACGAGCCCGAAGCCCCCTGCGACAGCGTATCCGTCAGTCGCACCACCGAGAAACTCCGTGCGGGCCGTGTCCGAGCCCGTCGTGGCGAGGATCTCCCAGCAGTGCCCGTCGGGCGGCGTCGGCAGGGCCCCCTCGGAGACCTCCAGGCTAGTCGGACCCTTCACTGCTCCATCCCCTGACGGCATTCCCGATGCTGGTAGTGGCTGCTTCCCACGCAGTCGCCGACTGGTCGGAGGACCGCTGGAGAGAGCCTCTGGGCGGCAGAACTGCAAGGCCGCTACGTAGTCGAGCGGCGTCGGCTCCCAATCGGCGCCGTAGACCGAGTGTCTCCTCCGCAGCTTCTGGCCTTCGGATGTGGAGTCGATGGGCTGGCCCATCTTGTCGAGCACCACCACTCCAGCTAGAGGCCCGACTGCTAGGAGGTGCGGATAGATGTCCCCGTCTGGGGTGAGGCAGTAAAAGCATCTCGTCACTAGAGCTGGAGGAACTGGCTCGCCGACGACGTCGGTGTACTCCCCGGGCGGGCACTCGCAGATGATGATTCTCACTTGCCAGTCCCGCCCCGCCTGCCACAGGACGCCGACACGTTGACCAGCCTCCATAGCCCACGGCACAGCAGCAGCACCCTGCAGCGGCTCCGATCAGGAAGCAGAAGGCGCACACCACGACAAGGAAGCCCCGCAGGCTGCCCGTGAGTTCCGAGAGGAGGAGGCACCCGCCTGCGTCCTCGTGCCCAGGGATCAGCACCTGGACGGCATGAGGCAACTGACTGAAAGCGAACGGCAAGGCTTTTGCACGAAGGAAAGAGATGACCCCCATGCGCCGCCCTCTGAATTCGACTTGAGCCGCAACACCAGCGGCCAACAAGTACGCACGCCCAGCAATGTACTTCGGAGAAGCTCGCTCGGAGGAGGAGGAGGAGGAGGAGGAGAAGGAAGAGGAGGAGGAGGAGGAGGAGGAGGAGGAGGAGGAGGAGCCATTGGGGGGTGCGGAATCTCCCCCTGAGCTTCATCCCTGCCGTGCGCCTGGTCTGCGGGCCACCACTCGGGCCTCCGACGGCCCTTCCGGGAGGGCTCGGGGGGCAGCCCGAGCCGGGGAGGCCACCGAGAGCCAACGAGAGCGCCCGCAGACCTCGAGCCTCGAGCCCCCTGATGACTACCTACCAGACCACCCCAACCCAACCCGAAGACCCGAATTTCGGGTTGGGGGGGGGTCAGGGTTCCACGCGTGTTTTTTCGATGTTTCCCAGCCCCCCCCCCCACTAGAAATCGAGGGTAAATCTGAGCCTTCGGGTTGGGTTGGGGTGGTTTGGTGGGTGGTGACCTGGGCCCACCCCACCCCCACGATGCCCCCGAGGTCCATCTCGAGACCGGGAAGCCACCGAGGGCCAACGAGAGCGCCCGCAGACCTCGAGCCTCGAACCGCCTGGGCCCATCCCACCCCCCCACGATGCCCCCGAGGTCCCTCTCCGTGCGGAAGAGCTCGATGGGGATCTGCTTGCCGATGATCGCGGGCGACTCGCCGAGGACCGTCTTGAGGAGCCAGGGCATGTTCAGAGGTCGGGGGATGACCTTCAGCCTCTGCCTCAGCCTCTCCTCGCTCACGGGCAGAAGAAGAAAGAACAGCACGAAGCACCAACTCCCATGGGAATCGGCCGTGTGGGGGGGGGGAGTGTGCGCCGGATGGGCCCCGAGAAGATCGGCCAAGGGAAGGGGGGGACGAGGGCAAATCCGCTCTAAATCGGTCCCTGGACCCCTCTGGGGGTCGAAGCTGACCAGATTTTCGAGCTGCCTCGATAAGGGGGGCCATTGTATCCACCCTTCCTGCTGGCCAGAACCAGTGAAACCAGTGGTGGGCATCTCAGCCCCCCCAGCTAACCCACAAGGGTCTTTACCCCCCACAGTAATGGGAGTCCATACATACATACACACATACACACATACACACGTACATTCATTCATTCATTCAGTCATTCATTCATTCATTCATTCACACATGCATACATACATACATACATACAGACAGACAGACAGACAGACAGATAAACATACGTACGTACGTACGTACGTACGTACATACATACATGCACATACATACATACAACCATACATACATACATGCATACCTTCATACACATACATACATACGTGCATCCATACATACACACATACGTACATACATACATACTTACTTACTTACATAAATACATAGAAACGTACATACACATATATATATATATATATATATATATATATATATACATACATACATGCATACATACATGCATCCATACATAAACACATACATCCATACATATATATATATACACATGCGTACGTGCATGCATAACATAACATACGTTACACTATATTACATGACACCACTACATGACATTACATTACGTTACATTACATTACATTACGTGACATGGCAGCACATCATATTACACTACATTACAATACAGTATACGACACTACATTACATTGCACTACACTGCATTTCATTACACTACATATGTAAATGTATATGTGTATATATATATATATATATATATATATATATATATATATTGTGCGGGCTTACTAACGGAAGAAGACCCACAGCAAAGCTGGGAAAATTCGCCGGCCCAACGGGCCAGGGCGTGCTAAGATCTCCGGTAACTGGTTAACAGTATTAACAGTATTTCTAGTTCGCGCGCGCGGGGCGGCCCCTGGGGGTCCCCCGGCGAAAAGTACCCCGACCAACGCCCGCCGCCCGCCGCCCGACCGCCGCCCGACCACCGCCCGACCAAGTCTACTCAGAGATGGTTTTCCTTCTGGGTGCGGCCTCTCAGGCTCCCCAGAGCGCGCTCAGAGTGCCCCAAGAGGCCCCCAAGACTGCCCAAGAGGCCCCCGAGACGCCCAAAGAGCGCTCGAAGACGCCGAAGATGACCCCAAGACGGCCCAAAAGGCCCCCAAGACAGCCCAAGAGGCCTCCAAGACGCCCCAAGAGCCTTCCAAGAGGCCTCCGAAGAGAGCCCCAAGAGGCCAAAATCGTTGATTTTCATTGGTTTTTTCGATGTTTTTTGTGTTCTGGCTTTTTCGGCTTCCGGACGCTCCAAGACGGCCCAAGAGGCCCCCAAGACCGCTCCAAGACGGCCCACGAGGCTCCCAAGACGGCCCCGGAACGGCCCAGGAGGGCCCCCAAGACGGCCCAAGTGCCGCCCAAGACGGACCAAGAGGCCCCAAGACGGGCCCAAGAGGGGCTCAAGAGGGGAACCGAGAACTGAAAAATCGAGCCCTCCGCCCCAGAAGGCGCCCAGGAGGCCCCAAAAAGGCCCCAAGAGGCCCCCAAGAGGCCCCCAAGACGCCCCAAGAGGCGCCCAAGAGGCCCAAAAGAGGCCCCAAGAGGCCCCAAAACTGCCCCCAAAACTCGGCTAGCCCACAACGGTGCGACAGTATGGGCCGGCGGAATGAGCGAAGCGATTAAATAATGATGATGATTCTCTGGCGGCGGCCACTGCTGATGACGGGGAGGGGATGAGGCCCCCTGATGGTGATGATGATGATGATGGTGATGATGATGACGATGATCACGATGCAGATTATGCACATGATGGTAACACTGATGATAGCGATGCTGATGATGATGCTGACGATGATGATGGTGATGACGATGATGATGATGGTGCTGATGCTGATGCTGCTGCTGATGATGATGATGATGTTGACGTGAAGGACGAGGTTGGGAAGGAGAAGTTTAACTGCCAGCTGAGAATTTTTTGGGGGCCGGGCAGCATTACCTTCGCGGTCAGTAAGCTCTGGAGCTCTCAAAAGGTCGTTGCGGATCTCTCGGATCGGCGCTGAACCAAGACGAGGGCCCGTCGGGACTGGCGCCTTCGCTTTGCCGCCATTGTGAAGGTCATCCTGGAGGCTTCTCGTCGCAGGGCGCTAGGGGCGGCGCCGGAGGCGCCGCCAGGGAGGTGTCCATTGAAAGAGGGCTACTTGAGACAACGGCGGATCTCCCCAAACCCCCGACGTCTGGAGAAACTCAGAGCGGATTTGTTGCGCAAATTTCGGCCTCTGGGGGCCCTCGCCGGGTCCACTATCGTCGCCCCTGATCTGTGCGTCGTGCCGCCGTCTGCTCTTCGAGATGGAGCCGCCGACGAGAGACTCGAGGAGGCCAGCGGCGGGCGTACGGTCGCCCGCAGGGTCGCTGAGGGCGTGCACGAGCACGAGGTGTATCGGGTCGCAGCGGAAGTTGATCAGCAGCAGCCGCCTCCACCGGGGCGCGAGGAGGGGGAGGAGGAAGGGGAGGAGGAGGAGGAGGAGGAGGAGGAGGAGGAGGAGGAGGAGGAGGAGGAGGAGGAAGAAGAGGAGGAGGAGGAGGAGCAGCAGCAGCAGCAGCAGGACGAGGAGGAGCAGGAGCAGGAGGAGCAGGAGGAGCAGGAGGAGGAACACGAGGAGGAAATTAAGGGGGAGCATGAGAGGGGGGAAATGGTGATGGTGACGAAAGCACCAATACCAATAACAGTAGTACGAATGACAGTAATGCAACTGATGAAACGAATAATAAGAATGCGGAGCATGTTAACGATACAGGCAACTTGCGAAAACAGTCATACGATTAAACATAGCGTTAGTAAACAGCAGCATCACGAATTGGAATGCAAATCGCACTAATACTAATAACAAAATGACGCCCGAGAAAACCCACTTATAATGTTCAAGGCTGTAGGGCTATGGGGCTATAGGGCTACAAGGCTCTGTAGCTATAGGGCTACAGGGCTATAAGGCTATAGGCCCTAGGGCTATAGGTCTATAGGGCTATAGGGGCTATAAGGCTAGAAGGCTTTAAGGACCATGACAGAAGGGCTATATGGCTATAAGGCTATACGGCTATAAGGCTAAAGGGCCATAGGGCTATAGGGTTATAGGGCTATAGGGCTATAGGGCTATTACGGCTGAAGGGCTATAGGGCTATAGGGTAGGGATATAAGGCTATAAGGCTATAAGGCTATAGAGCGATAGGGCTACCGGGCACCCCTGGGCACCTCCGGGCACCTCAAGGCACCCGGGCACCCGTGCACCCGCGGGCCTCCGGGCACCCGGGCCAGCCACCGAAATCGACGACGAACCTCACCTAACCGTATGAATCCGCTAGGACCCCTACAGAGGCAAGCTCTGATTGGGGAAATAATGGTAAGACGAATAATACTCCACGAACAACAAAACTTCACGGGTAGGAGACCATGCTCATATTCACGAACAGCAGTACTCAGAATACTGAGAACAAGAGCAAACAACATCGTCATAAGAAATAATACCAGCAATACTGAGACGCATAATAATCATACGCCCAATAATAAGAATCAAAATGCGAATAGTGGTAATAATCCTGCGAATGATAATTCTAACAAGAGTAATACTAATACTGGAACGAATGATAACAGTAATAATACTACGACGATGAAAATCAACAACAATCATTTTAAGACTGTTCGCTCTTACTGGCACGCGTGTCTCGCACTCCGTCTACCCCAATCCCCCAACCCTCGATACGCGCCCACTTCGTCTTCGATTGCACCCCCTTTCGGGGGGAACCTCTCCCTTGTCGGCCACTGACTGAAGTGCGAAGAAGTCTCGAGCGAGAGCGCCGTTCCTGATTTCGGGGGCCTCTCTGGCCAGGAGCTCTCGGAATACCTGTGGAGAAATATCGAACGGGATCCCTTGTCGCCGTGTCCGGGCCTCCACAAACTTGCCTGAACTACGGGAAAGTCTCGACCGACAGCGCCGTTCCTGAGTTCGGGGGCCTTCTTGGCCAGGGGCTCTTGGAGTACATCGTGAGGAAGTATCGAACAGGAGCCCTTGTCGTAGTAGCTGGGCCTCCGCCAACTTAATTGAATTGCGAGGAAATCTCGAGCGACAGCGCCGTTCCTGAGTTCAGGGCCCTCTCTGGCCAGGGTGTCTCGGGGTAAGTTGTGAGGAAGTATCGAGCGACAGTCGCTGTTGCTGTAGCTGCGCCTCCAAGGGCCCACATCTAGGGTCAAGCCAACGCTCGAGCGGGAGCCTCGTTTCTTGAGAAAATGTAGCCTGCGTCGAGGCGAGAGCGCGCAGAACCGTTTCCAATGATCAGCAATAATTAATCATTAGAAATGAATTTTCAACTACTACTACTGCTAGTAGTAGTAGTACTACTACTACTACTACTACTACTACTACGACTACGACTACGACTACTACTACTACTACTACTACGACTACTACTATTACTACGACTACTACTACTACTACTACTACTACGGCTGCTGCTACTACTACTACTACTACGACGACGACTACTACTACTACGGCTAACCCAACTACTAATCCTATTACTACGTACCCTACGGCTAACCCTACTACTACTACTTCTACTACTACTACTGCTTCTACTACTACTACTACTACTACTACTACTACTACTACTACTACTACTACTACTACTACTACTACTATAACTACTATAACTACTACTACTACTACTACTACTACTGCTGCTGCTGCTGCTGCTACTACTACTACTACTACTACCACTGCTACGGCTAC